TGACCTTTAAGAAAACAATTTTTTTAAGAAAAATTGTTAGTCTTCAAAAATACTTTTCATTTTTCTCCTTAACTAAGTTGTAGTTGACCTTTTGCTTAGGCAAGAGTAAATTTCATAACTAAGAAAAAATTTCCCAGTGATTTATGTCTGTTGCAAAATAACAGTTAGGTTTCTCTGAGGGCAAAGACTGGATTTATGCACTTTCTTACAACCCCCCGCCCCCACCCCATTTAAACAACTGTAGTAAAATACATATAACATAAAATTTGCATCGTAACCATTTTAAGTGTACAGTTCAGTGGTATTTTTTTCTTTATTTTTCCAATTTTACTAAGATCAAATTGACACATAACATTATATAAGTTCAAGACGTACAACATGTTGATTGGATACACATGTATAGCAAAATGGTTACCATCTAGTGTTACCTGACACCTCTGTCACCTCACCATTTCTTTTTTGTGGTAAGAACACTGAGGATATGCTTTCTTAATAACTTCCACATATATAATATGTCATTGTTAACTGTAATCATAATGCTGTGTACTGTATTTCTAGAACTTATATATCTTCTAACTCTTGATCAATATCTCCCTCTACCCCCACTCTCGAGACCCTAGTATTAAAGTTTCATTTCCCTGTTTCTACAAGTTTGATGTTTTTTAGATTACACATAGAAGTGCTGTCACACAGCATTTGTCTTTGTGTGACTTATTCTGCCTAACACAATGTCCTCAAATTTCAATCATGTTGTCACAAATGGCAGGATTTCCTTCTTTCTCATGGCTGAATAATATTCCATTATATATATATATATATATATATGTATATGGGTTGCTGTTTTTTTTATTTTTATTTTTATTGCCTCTTTAGCTGTGCAGAAGCTTTTCAGTTTGATGTAGTCCCACTTACTGATTTTTGCTTGTGTTGCTTTGCTTTTGGTTTCATATGCAAAAAATAATTGCCCTGAGCAATGCCAAGGAGTTTATTGTTTATTTCCTATGTTTTCTTCTAAGAGTTTTATGGTTTCAGGTCTCATTCAAGTCTTTAATCAATTTGTGTTCATTCTTTTTTTTCTATGCTTTTTTATTTATTTATTTATTTATTTATTTATTTATTTATTTATTAATTTATTTATTTTTATTGTTTTATTGCTTAAAGTATTACAAAGGGTATTACATATGTGTCCTTTTTTTCCCCCGCCCTTCACAATCCCCTGGCCTCCCCTACCCCCCAGTGTCTTATGTCCATTGGTTATGCTTATATGCATGCATACAAGTCCTTCGGTTGATCTCTTACCCCCCTCCCTGCTGCCCCCCAACCCTCCCTTCTTGATAGTGGTATAAGATAGGGGAACAATTTCATTTTTCTGTATGTGGTTGTCCATTTTCCCAGCATCATTTACTGAAGAGACTATCTTTTCTTAATTAAGTAGACTTGGCTCCCTTGTCAAATATTAACTGGCAGGTGTTTATTTCTGGGCCCTCATTCTGTTCCATTAGTCTAAGTCAGTAGTTCTCAACCTTCTGGCCCTTTAAATACAGTTCCTCATGTTGTGACACAACCATAAAGTTATTTTCGTTGCTACTTCCTAACTGTAATGTTGCTACTGTTATGAATCGTAATGTAAATATCTGATATGCAGGATGGTCTTAGGCGACCCTTGTGAAAGGATCGTTCGACTCCCAAAGGGGTCTTGACCCACAGGTTGAGAACCGCTGGTTTATGTCTATTTTTTATTCCAGTACTATACTGTTTTGATGACTATAAGCTTATAGTATAGTTTGAAATCAGGAAGTGTGATATCTCTGGATTTGTTCTTCTTTCTCAGGATTGCTTTTACTATTCAGGTCTTTTGTAGTTTCACACAAATTTTAGTTTTGGTTTTTGTATTTCTGTCAACAATGACATTAGAATTGCACAGAATCTACAAATGGCTTTGGGTAGTATTGATATTTTAACAATATTCTTACAATCCATGAAAATGGGGTATCTTTCCATTTGTTAGTTTCTTTCATTAAAGTCTTATAGTTTTCAATGTATAGACCCTTCGCCTCCTTAGTTTAATTTATGATGATGAACTTTATTGTTTTTTGATGCTAATATAAATGGGACTGTTTTCTTTATTTCCTTTCCTTTTCAGATAGTTTGTTGCTAGTGCATAGAAACATGATTGATTTCTGTATGTTGATTTTGCATCCTAGAACCTACTAAATTTGTTCTAAATGTTTTTGGTGGAGACTTTAAAATTTTTTATGTGTAAGATCATATCATCTGCAAATGAAGATTATTTTACTTCTTTCCTTCTGATTTGGATGTCTTTTATTTCTTTATCTTGCCTGATCACTCCAATTAGGACTACCAGTGCTATGGTGAACAAGACGGTGAGAGTAGGCATCCTTGTCTTGTTCCTAGCTTTCAACCTTGCACTATTGAGTATTATATTAGCTGTGGGTTTGTGGCATACGACTTTTATTATGTCCAGGTATGTTCCTTCTATACCCACTGTTTTGAGAGTTGTTTTTTTTTTTATCATGAAACCATGTTTTATTTTGTCAAATGCTTTTTCTTGTGAAGAATGTGTATTGTGCTGCTGTTGGTTGAAATGCCTGTATATGTCTGTTAGGTCTATTCTGTCTAAAGTGTGGTTCAAGTCCAATGTTTCCTTGTTAATTTTCTGTTGGGATGATGTATCCAATGTTGAAAGTGGGGTACTGAAGTCCCCAATGATCTTTCTTCAGATCTGTTAGTATTTGCTTAATATATTAAGGTGTTTTGATATTGGGTCCGTACATATTACAATTATTATATATTCTGGATGAATTGATCGCATTATCATTATATAATGACTTTCTTTGTCTCTTGTTACCATTTTTGGCTTAAAGTCTATTTTGTCTAAGAATAGCTCTCCTTTGGTTTCTATTTGCATAGAATATCTTTGGATCCCTTCGCTTTCAGTCTATGTTTGTCCTTTAGGCTGAAGTGAACCTCTTGTAGGTAGTATATAGTTGGATTTTGTTAAAGAATTCAGTCTATTTACATTTAGAGTAATTATTAGAGTTAAGGAATTATTAATCCCATTTATTGTTTTCTGGCTATTTTGTACTTCTCTTGTTCCTTTCTTCCTCTTCGCAGCCTTGTTTTGTGAATTGGTGATTTTCTGTAGTGGTATGTGCTGATTCCCTTCTCGTGATCTATTGTGAATCTACTACATGCTTTTGATTTATGATTCCCATGAGGCTTATATAAAACATCTTATAACAGTCTGTTTTACAATAATAACTTAATTGTTATTGCATACAAACACCTCTACCATTTTACTCTCCCCCTTTTATGTTTTTAAAGTGGCAATTACTTCTTTTTATATAAAGTATTCATTAACAAATTATATTAGTTATAGTTATTGTTAATATTTTTGTTCCTTAACCTTTATACTAATAGTTAAGTGACACACCACCATATTACAGTATTCTGAATTTGACTATATGTTTACCTTTATCAGTATGTTGTATATTTTCATGTTACTGATTGGCATCCTTTCATTTCAGTTTGAAGAACTTGTAGCATTTCTTGTAAGGCAGGTCTAGTGAACAAATTCCCTCAGCTTTTGTCTGGGAAAGTCCTTATTTCTCCTTCAGTTCTGAAGGATGATTCCATGGATTATGTACTTTCCTATGTCTTTGGACTGTCTTATATTGCTTAGGTCACAGCTATATTTGAGAACTGTATCCTTCAATTTACATATGAAATTTAAAATAGCTAAAAACATAAGATTTATGTACATAATTTTATTAAGAAAGTAGAATTCTATGGTATAACAATATTTTCCTTGAATAAAAAATTAGAATCAGTCTACTTAACACAATAATGTCTGAAACTTAAACTTTGGGGGTATAATTTAGCTTTCTGCTTCAGAAGGTTTCCCAAAGGACTTTAAGGTACAGACAAAAAGAGAAAATGATTCTGGTGTCACAAAATGGTCATCTATTTTCTGTTAAACATGCGTATCCATGATATTGCTTATACCCAGTATTTTCTCACTTCCAATGCATTTCTTCATCCTCTTACACGTCAGGTAGCTTCCTGCTACTACCATAGATCTTACTTTAAAGAAAAAGTTCCACAAAACCTCATCTATCTAACTATAACATATGGTCTAAAATTTAGACCTGTGGGCAGGATGGTACAAACACTTTCTGACAAAGAAAAAGGGGCAAAGGAGACATGTGATAGCACCATACATCATGTAACATTTATATTTTCTCAGGTACTATACCCTGGGTGCTCTATTGGCTTCCACACAATAGTCCTCTTAATATAATAAGAGTACTCTGTGTTATCTACCTAACCCAGGGTGAGGATAGATGGAAAAATTACTGGGTCAGAGGAGTATAAGGTATATTTCATCTTCAGATTTCATTTGCTCTTATTCCCAATGAATGATGCAAATTTGCAAGTATAACTTTGTGTTTAGATATTTTTAAATTTTTTATGAAGATGACTAAAAACTTCAGAATAATGTTCCTTTTTAACATTTCTATGCTTACTTTGCATATTTTCAAATCATTAATTAATCATATAGCATAAATGTAACAAAAACTATTTGGTAGAGGCTCTTTAAACATAACTGAACAATATTAGAACATAGGAATGTAAGCAGCTTGATGAAAGGATTAGTATACTACCCAAGTGCAATTTTTTCTATGAGAAGAGATAATCTGACATCTAAGGTGATCTAATTATTCTTTGGACTAGCCTGTTATTCCTTGACATTAACATCTATAGCTTTTGAATGTTCATTATATCCAGTCAAATGTTAAAGTGAACAGAAGTGATATTGTCCTGAAAGTGCCACTGTCCCTTTTAGAACTGAATTTTTATTTCCTTAATAGCTTCTCTAGTGAAACATTCTTAAAGATTACAAACTGAAGAGCCTAAGGAATCAAGAGAATTAAAAAGTAAAGAAAATTGATTCTTGTAATATAAAAAATTTTACCTACCTTTGTGGAATATAGAACATATGCTGGGGAGGTGGTTTATAGAGGACTCCCTTGTACACAGGCCAGAGCCCACTTAAAATTCTGAAGAGAGAACTCTTTCCACAACCATTGGGACCAGTAATCAAAAGATGCATTCCTTCTTGTACCTAAAGTAAGAAATAAAATTACAAACTGCAAAATAATTTCTTTGGCAGCATTTAAAAGTGATTTATTGAAAAAAAACCTTTCAAACACATGATAACCTAGGATGGGCAAGGAATCAAAGAAAAATAAATCAGAATCAACAGCCTCAAAGTTGGCTTTGACTATGCTCTGAAGCTAAAAGTATTATAAATTAATCCAATCTCAAAGACAATGAATCTTCTTGAAATGAGCATTTGGCTTTCCAAAATTTTAATTGGGACCTTGTAATCAGATACTATACACATATGTAGAAACATAACCACATGGAAAATAGGACACTGTTAAAATTTAAATTAAAATATATTCAATTTCATTTTATTTATATTAATATTTATTTAACTTTATATTGAATGAAAATACAACTTCATTGTATTTGTCAGTTGGAGTTATTAGCTATAAAACACAGTTATTCTAAGAGCCAGCTGGGTTGTTTAATTTTGTACTTCAGCAGTCTGAAATGCTACAGAAATCACAAAAGCTCATAATCAGAGAGATAAATTTATTCCAGTTCTGCTTTATTCAAAGATAAATAAAATATGTTTACTAAACCAAGACAGAAGAAAATAAGAGGGTTGTAATTTAGTCTTATGTCTAGAGATGCATTAAAACATATATATATATATGTTTTATATATGTGTGTGCATGTATACATAGATATACACACAGTTATGTAGGTATAACAATAAAACAAAAGTTATTTATCCATTATTGATTGGACATTTCTCTTTAGAATCTCTCATCTTATTTACCATTTAAATTTAAACATTTAAATATCATGAGTTACCTTTCTACTCAGGATTGGGAAGTTATCTTAATGTGGTATTCAAAGGGTATTGTGAAGAACAAGGAAAAGAAACACCATTTAAAAATTCATCTACTTTTAAGAACAACTATATATTTTTTTAAATATGTTTTATTGATTTTTTACAGAGAGGAAGGGAGAGAGATAGAGAGTTAGAAACATTGATGAGAGAGAAACATCGATCAGCTGCCTCCTGCACACCCCCCACTGGGGATGTGCCCGCAACCAAGGTACATGCCCTTGACCGGAATCGAACCTGGGACCTTTCAGTCCATAGGCTGACGCTCTATCCACTGAGCCAAACCAGCTAGGGCAGAACAACTATATTTTTAATTAGTGATTTAAAAATTAATATAGTATGAAAGTATGAGAGGAAGAAAGTACAATATATGTGTAGCTATATCTTTGTATAGTATGGATACAAATATCTAAGTATCAATGATACAGAATACATCATTGAAAATTCAAAAATGAAAGAGCATATTATTTGCATTATGTCAATATAAGGGACCAACCAGTTCAGTGTCTATCCTTGACTCATTTGCTGTGTATACCATAAGCTGAAATCTTTTTGTTGAAAGAAGGTAGTGGGGAGAGGAAGGAAGGGGGGAAGGGAAAGAAAAAAGAAGGGTTGGGATGGAGGTTAGATAAAGGAAGTAAGAATGTATATAATAAGTATATGTAAAGCAAAAATGGTTCAGATTCATATTCTGTCTAAATAATTAGACATTTCCTTGCCAAACATTGTTTGAATATCTATCATGTGCCTGACCTTCTTCTAGGCATCGTGGTTACAGTGTTGGCCAAGACAAAGTCCTTGTTCTCATAGAACTTACATTCCAATGGGAAAGACAATAATAAGAACATGAACAAAAATTAAGTAGTGATAAATGCTAGGATGACAGCAAAATAAGAAAGTTTATTATGGAAAGATGGTGGCGTTGTGAGTCTGGTGTGGGGGCTTCTTTTGACGAGGTGGTCAGAAAAGGCCTCTTTGAGGAGGTAACATTTTGGCTGAGCCTGGGTGATGAGAAGCAACTGGTCAGATCTGGGGGAAGAGCATTCTAAGCAGCAAAGATACCATCACAAGGCTATAAGACAGAAGCAAGCTTGATTCTACAAAATCTACAGATTTTTTTTTTCTAAAAAAATATAGATTTTTTTCTCTTTAATTGTAACCAAACTAAAATGCTATTTTGATACAATAAAGTTCAAAGGAAAATCCTGGGGGAAAACCCAGAAAGAATTAATTTGTGATTTGCTGTGCTCTTTGACTAGAAAGAGGACTAAGGAAGTTAAATGTTGTAGAAGCATAAATACTTCACAAATGATGTTTTTAAAAGTATCTGTCATGGCAAAAGGCACAGTCACAAAATATATATATTTTTAAATATATTTTATTGACTTTTTATAGAGAGGAAGGGAGAGGGATAGAGAGTTAGAAACATTGATGAGAGAAACATCGACCAGCTGCCTCCTGCACACCCCCTACTGGGGATGTGCCTACAACCAAGGTACATGCCCTTGACCAGTATCGAACCTGGGACCCTTGACTCCGCAGGCTGATGCTCTATCTACTGGGCCAAACCAGTTAGGGCTCACAAAATATTTTAATAGGGTCATTCTCTGTTAGGAATTCTTAGAAATGTAACGCATTTTGAGTCATAATAGGAGATTTTACTACATTTATATTTTTAGCATGTTTTCTGATATTTAGCACAGAGAGATTGTGAAGTATAAAGAATTCCTTGCTCGGCTGACTACATGTTGAGCTTTGAACTATGGACCAGGAAGTCATGGGTTGTGGGCTCAATCCCCAGTATGGGGTGTGTAGGAGGCAGCCAATCAATGATCCCCTCTCACCATTGCTGTTTCTCTCTCTCTCTCTCTCTCTCTCTCTCTCTCTCTCTCTCTCTCTCTCTCTCTCTCTCTCTTTCTCTCTCCCCCTCTCCCTTCCTCTCTGAAATCAATAAAAATTATATTAAAAAAGAATTCCCACATTTATTAAATTTTATTCTCCAAATGTTTGTTGTTGTTTTTTAAATTCTGAAAGGCCAACAAAAGAGAACCTTTTCCTTTAAAAACCTGTTTGTCAATCCATGCAAAGGAAACAACTTTCTATTATATTTTAGGGACCTGAGACTTCAAATAAAACTTCCTGTCTGAGTAAAAAATAAACAATTATTATAAAAGTGTACTATAATAACATCTTTGTAGCACTTTAAAATATGTAACACTTTTATTATTTAAAAATTTATTTCATATAAAAATAAACTGAGCTCTGAAGTTTCTACAGAAAGAGGGTGATGGCCCTAGCTGGTTTGGCTCAGTGGATAGAGCATCAGCCTGTAGACTGAGGGGTCCCAGGTTCGATTCCTGTCAAGGGCACATGCCCGGATTGTGGCCTCGATCCCCAGTAGGGGACGTGCAGGAGGCAGTTGATCAATGATACTCTCTCATCATTGATATTTCTATCTCTCCCTCTCCCTTCCTCTCTGAAATCAATAAAAATATATTAAAGAAAAGAAAGAGGGTGATGTCCACAATTATATAATTAGTAGGTGGCAGAATTTAAGACTCTTACTCTATTTAATAAGTGTAACAATAAAAATTGATATTATGAACTTAAACAACCAAAGTGTTCTACGATAGAGGACTGGATAAAGAAGATGTGGTACATGTACACAATGGAATACTACTCAGACATAAGAAAGGATGAAATAGCTCCATTTGCAACAACATGCATGAGCCTTGAGAACATTATGCTAAGTAAAATAAGTCAGTCAGAAAAAGCTAAGAACGATATGATTTCACTCATATGTGGGATATAAAACTGAAAATTGTGAACACAGACAGCAGTGTGCTGGCTGTCAGAGGGAAGGGGGTTAGGGGAGAAGGGGATCCTAATATAAGGTGACAGCAGAAGATCTGACTTTGGGTGGTGGGCACATGCTGCAATATACAGATCTTGTAACAGAGAAACCCACACCTGAAACCTATCTGTTCATGTTGACCACTGTCACCCAAATTTAATAAAAAATAATAATAATAAAGAAAAAAATAAACCGAACCTGACCAAAACAAGAGAAAGAAAATCTCTATACAAAAAGTTATAAATTATAAATGGCTGAACTACTAATAAGTAATTAAATATTCTATGTATGCCTCTTCAAATGTTTTATTTCAAATTTATTTAAGATTATGGTGCACCTTTGGCACCTAATTGGTATCATGCTCAGATCCAAATAATTAAAGAAGTCTATAGGTCTATAAATGGAAAAGTAAAGCCTCATCAATTGTAGTTAAAACACAATTTCTCTTATATTTATTAACACAGAATTTTCCTTGTTCAGTACTTATCCTTTTCCTGCTCCCTTATTCATTGGTAAATACCATCTTTAATAATTAAAACTTTACTACAAAGTCCATACTAAAAGCATTTAGCACCTGTATTGTCATGTTTGCAATTCTGTTATCAAGTCCAATCGTCTCTTTGTTTGAACTAAAGCTCTTACGCCTTCATTACAGTCATTAATGCTTATGAGCAAATTATTTTGTACTTAAATTCCAAAATACCTGAATTTTACAGTGCTTTAAATAAAGGCCTTAGGTTTATTGACTGTTTTTACATCATCAAGTCGTAAAATGTTAAATAATAACTCTTATTCTCAACAGAGTTATTAGAAACTAAATTCCAATCCACAAATCTGATTTTTTTCTAACAGAAGATGTGATTATTTAAAACACAATTAAATTTAGAGAATCTGTAATAACAGGAGTAAACCTGCTAATGACCTTTAACCTCATATTTTAGTAAATTTATTATAATTCAGGCTTGTAGTTTTTGAGTAATTCCTATAAGAAAAAAAAATTAAAATTTATTTCCAGATAATAATTTTTGAAGAAATTTTCTGTTGCTCTCAAAAGTTACCTAGCAAAGGCTCTCAGTGCACTACAATTTTGATATATAACCTGACAATAAAGCAGTAGAAATCAAATTTCTCTTTTTCTCTGCTTTCTGAGGAAGTAACTGCTTCTGTAATTGAGCCACTGTGCATACCTTTCTTGATTTCCCCTCCTGTCCATATGCTCCTCCAAGTATTTAACATAAGGTATATGAATTCTGAGTTGTTTTGTATTAGTGTGATGGCAACAATCAGAAGATTCTTGAATATCATCTTACTTTGAAGTTTAGACTGGAAGCCACCACTTCTCCCGTTGGTGTAATTATGGGAACATTTTCACAAATAATTCCATGATCCACATCAATAACTTTTCCTGTGAGTTAAGGAACATTTTAAGTTACAAAAGTCATCGCATGTTATTGCTAATTATTTTAAGAGATACTTCACAGTTATAAATCATAGAAATAAATGGAAATATACATGTTATATTTAAAGCAAAGTTTAATGCATACTGGGATATTTTGACATATCTATTTAGAAAATCTCTATCAGAAATTTTATTTTGCAATAATCTGATGTCAAAATCATGAGAGCAAAACCAAACTCTATATGATGTAACCTAGCCATACTCTTTATAACCACTATTTCTCTAAATTAACCTTTCTTCTGAATAAACACAGTCCTGCAACAAGGAATTAAGATACAGAATAACACAATTTTAAAAAATAGGACAACCAAACTTAAGTTTTAAAACACAGAATGAAGAACAATGTGATATTAGCTCTAGTTCTGTTAATCTTAAAAGCAAACAATTCATTCTGTCATATGTGTAGTTTCAAAAATTAATTCTAGAAATTTTGTCCTAAATAAAAGTAGCATAATAATTTTTTATGCTAATGTTATTCACCCTCCTCAAACTGCAACACTAACTTTGGGAATAATTGTTTAAATAATTAAATGTTGGTTCCTTGTAACAATTAAAGGCTATCATCTAAAAAACTTTGGTTCTGTTGATAAACACTTAAATATAGAAAAATAAAAAAAACCTAAAAGCATTTAGACAGATCTCAGTGGATAGGGGGATGGAGTGAACGAGAAGAGATTAACCAAAGAACGTACATGCATACATGCATAATCCATGGACACAAACAGTAGTCTGGGGAAGGCCTAGGGTGGGGTAGAAGCTGGGTGAAGGGGCCAAAAAGTGAAAAAATGGGGACATCTACATACTGTCTACAATTAAAAAACGAGTTTCAAACCTTTGATTTCCAGTGTGTCACTGAAAGGTAATTCTATATTAGCTCCGTTCTTGTCATGGTTTTCAGATTCTTGCATGACAGCAGTTCTCTTATAAATGCCTCTTTTAACTTCATCAAATACCCAAAACATATTGTACACTCGAGTAGTATAGCCTGCTAATTCAGTGACCTAAAACCAATGCAGAAAAATAATATAGTTAATATACCCAAGATAGACTTTTAAATAAATGTACCTTCATATAAGCTTCTTGATTTAACATCAAAGGTCCTATTTTATTATTCATGAAAAATAGATAATACATCTGATAACGAAAACAAGTAACAGTAAAAATGTTACCAAGAAAGCAACATAGCTGCCCAGCCAGCATGGCTCAGTGGTTGAGTGTCGACCTATGAACAGGGAGGTCACGGTTCAATTCCCGGGCAGGGCACGTGCCTGGGTTGTGGGCTTGGTCCCTAATGTGGGACTTGCAGGAAGCAGCCATTCAATGATTCTCTCTCATCATTGATGTTTCTATCTCTCTCTCTTTTTCCTCTCTGAGATCAATTTAGAGAAAGAGAGAGAGAGCAAGAGCGAGAGCGCGCAGCATTAGCAAGGTGTCAACGTAAGATTGATTGGAATTATAAAATACATTAAAATTTATTCATTCAAGTCAGGGTTCAAATTGAGAGATTTCAGAATATTAGTGAAACTTAAAAACCTTTCAGTCAAATTTCTTATTTAGCCTATTTACATGACAAATTTCATTTCCAGAAACTTAGAAATTTTGTGAAAAGCTTAAATTCATTCAAGGAAATAAAAATTCTTTATTTTGGTATTTTTTTCCTTCAATTTAAAATGGAAGATTTTAAATTGAAGAAAAATACATTTTTTTTCTTATTATAAAATGAATGTTTTTGAGTCAAATTGATTATCAAAATTCCTAAGCTTGGCCAGAGAAAATACCCCTGCTAGAGGATACCAATATTGGGAGTGAGCTCAATGAAAACTTTTAAATCATTTTCAGTCCAAATCCCACAATTCACGATCTTTTCAGGCAAAGCATGATTTATATGGCCAAAGAAAAACATTAAATATGACTTTTTTTCTAGGAGAGAACGTAAAATAACACAAGATAAAATCTCTGCTTCAGTCCAGTGGTGTGTTGCTTTTATTCGGCCAGTTGTCCAATTTAGATGGAATCTCCAGCTGTTTTTCTATTAAGAGAACATCTTGTTATCAAGGTACTGTAAAATGTGACTCATCTTCTGTCAAGACCATCTTTCTCAGTGAAAAGGAAAGCACAAAAACCATTTCCTTACAGAAATGTTTATAAGGAAATTGTTACTAATAAGCAAGGCATGCCACTAATCAATGTTTCTTAAACAATAAATTGTGAAATAATTCAACAATGCTGACATTTAGGTAAGAATTTTGTGTGTGCAAAGATTAAGCAGTAAATAAGTAGGTGTTGTTGCTAAAAGCCTCTACCACATGTCTCTGCTGTGTGTGAGAGTCTGTAATTAGATTAGTATTGCATTTCTATATGTTAATATTATAAACATTTAAAGGGTAATTTCTAAAATGTTATCTAGAAGAATTTCTTGAGTTTCCAGGTAGAGAAAAACAGAGCTAAAGATTAACAAAATACAGATTCAAAGGAAATCTGGGTAAATATATTTGCATAGAAAAAACCCAAAACCAAATGTAAAGGTCAGTTAAAGAAAGGCAGGAGGCAATGACTTAGTAGATCAAGCTGCAAGGTGGAGTGGGCAAAGAGTGTCTGAAAAAAACTGAAAATGTGACTGTGGGTTAGTTACTTTGGAATACAAGAGAAGGACTCTAAAAAGGAACCTTGTTACCTCTGGAGCTAGCAAAGAATGCCTAGTACTTTCATATGCTGTCACAGTAGTAGTAAGATTGTTTGGCAGTGACCATTCTATGACTCAAAGAACATTCAGGCAGAATAAAGCAAAACGCAATTATTTATTGTGTTGGAGATGATCTAGAAAAACCAACTGATATTCTTTCTGTGACTTAGATAGCAAATGTTAATGAGAGATAGATAAAATTTTATTTGTCATTTAATTTTAATGATACATAATATGTTACATAAGAAAATCCCTAAAACTGTCTCAGATTATCAAAATTACTATTTGAAAAAAATGTTTTAATTGAGTTATTTTTGGTATATGGCCCTAAATAATTGTTTTACTTTGTTGGTTTTAAAAAAAAAACAACTCAATTTAATTGTTTAATGAAACTGAAAAATTTTGTCAGCAATTCACAAAATTTATAACTCTTTTAAATGCTGATTTAACTCAAGGCTGATTTAATTCGAGGCTGATTTAATAGGCACCTAAATTTATAATGCTGATCTGGCAATTTATATTAATACAAAAGTTACATGAGTAATTAATAGTGAGGCTGACTCTTCATGGGAATATTATCAGTAATATCTCAATTGAATAAAGTGGTTTTTAATCTTAACCCTGCCATATCTGCAGGTCTTATTACCATTATTTCAACAAATATTTATTGACCACATATAATATTCCAACTATTAAAATGAATATTAAGAATGTAAAGATGGGTAACATAGTTCCTATTTTCCACTCAAGGTCTGGTGCAGAAGATAGACAATTATAAAGTGGTAAAAAACCAGATGTACTATGAACACAGACAAGGAAGACCCAGATTCTGCAGGGCAAGTAGGAAGAAGGTGGAATCACAAGCACATTTATTTGTGTTTGGTAAGGCTTAAGTTGTCATGAAGAATGAGTAAAAGTTTGCAAGGTATATAAATAATTTTACTGAGTAACATTTATTCAGCACTTAATATGTATTGTTTTCTGACTAAGTCAATGCTATCATTATTTTCATTTAACAGATGAGGAAACATACAGAGGTTAAGAAATTTGATCAAGTTCACATAATTAGTAAATACTGGAGCAAGAATTTAAATTTAGGCACTCTGTCTCACCTAAGGGACTTTCTTTTCAGTTTAAAAACAAATCTGTCATATATAGACAGAAAAAGAGGAATTACGATAGTGTCAAAATTAAAGGGTATTAGCAGCAATACATTTGGGAATTGTTCTCCCTTAACTTCATTATACACTTTGCAATTTTTTTTAATCCTCACCCAAGGATATATTTTCATTGATTTTTAGAGAGGAAGGAAGAGAGACAAAGAGAAACATTGATTTGAGAGAGGAACATTCATTTGTTGCCTCCTGTACCACCCCAACCGAGGATTGAACTCACAACCTAGCTATGTGCCTGGCTGAGAATTGAACCTGCAACCGTTTGATGTATAGGACAATGCTCCAACAACTGAGTCACCTGTCCAGGGCCTCTTTACAATTTTTGATAAGGATATGTTTTCAAAATACTAAGCATATCTGGTAATTTACATTTTGCTTGATTTTCACATATCTCACAAATTGGCAAGTACCTCTTTATATGAAGACATAATCCGTTCAATGGCATCAGCTCCAGAGGCCAATAAATTTCGAGCAGTGGTAAAGGCTTCTGTCCGTTCACTAACCATAGCTTGTTTTTGGCCGTCTTCTAAATATAAAAGCAAATTACAAAACTATTTAGTTTTGTTCAAGTAACTAAATGTTCTTTTGTATACAAATGAAGTTGTGGTTACAACAGCCACATGTAAAGTGTTCAATAATATTAACGAAATTCCTAGATATTTAATGAATTATTGAAAATGTAATAATTGTACCAGATTTTATTGAAAGCTCCCTTTTGTCTTATTTTTTTTTTCTAGAAAAAGAGCTAGAACAATTAAATCCATAAGAATTAAGAACTATTTTCATTTAGCATTCTTTCAACTCTTTCCAAATCCAACACCCTACCTTTACTGCAGGAATAAAATGCTATTGATTTGGTTAATGAAATCCAACTAACTAATATAAGCAAATATTTCTAGTGTGGTTCCTTTAATATAAATGCAAATTAGCCGACCCTCATAATTTAGTCTCTGTCTACCAGTTTCAATCAACCTTCACCTTAGTACAGCAGCTCCCAAATTTGAAATACTCTGTTTACCCTCTGATACCTGTATATATGATTTCGTCTGACTTTAATATACTTCCATTTTTTTTTTGCTAGCTCTTCAAGAGTTAATTCTTTTTTTTTATTTCATAGAGGAAGAGAGAGGGAAAGATAGAAATATCAATGATGAGAGAGAATCATTGATTGGCCGCCTCCTGCATGCTCTACATTGGGGATCAAGCCCACAACCCAGGCATGTGCCCTGACCGGGAATCAAACTGTGACCTCCTGGTTCATAGGTCTACACTCAACCACTGAGCCACACCAGCCAGGCTAGAGTTAATTCTTTAGTACAGGTTTCAGTGGAAACCCTGGTCTAGCTTTTCTAATGGACTGTAAGTTCCTTAAGGGGCAAGACTGTGTGTTTTATTCCTTATTCTTAGTATTCAGGAAAGTGTCTATCACATAATAATCCTTCGTGTATATTAAATGTATGTATGTATGTATGTATGTATGTATGGATGGATGGATGGATGGGTGAACATCCCAAATTTACTGTCAATGCAAAATTATGATCAGGAGCCTGACTAGGTTTGTATCCAGGCTCTACTACTTATTGGCAAGTACTAAGGTAAGTAGAGTAAGCTACTTATCCTTTCCACGCCTACTTTCTCACATGTAAATGAGGGAAATAATAGTACTACCTTAAACAAGTCTATCTCCAAGAGTTGTTGTGAGGTTTAAAGGCTAAATACAAAGGAACTGTTAGCCTAATCCATGGCCTATAATAATACATGCTCTAAATGTTAGCTGTTATTATTACCTCTAGTTATTATAGTTATTATTGCATATCTACTCAATTTAGTCTTATTCTTCAAAATTATTCTCTCCAGATCATTATTTTAATCTTTCCATCTATTTTATTATCTATCTTGTCCTTCTATAGATTATTTAAAAAGTTCTAAAGTAAAAGCTGTAAATTAATGAAAACGTTAGAATGATAAGATACTCATAGGCCCACTTTAATATTTATTTATCTCTGATTTATCTCAATGTAAAGGGCTTTTTCTCCATAACAATATAATTATTTAACTTGTGCCCTATTATGACTACTAGATACTTTCACCTTTACTTGCTCATAGACAGCTCAGCTGAATTTGAAAGGCATCTGTGCATAAGTAAAATTCACTCAGCAGACATTTACTGAACACCTAGATGTATAAGAAATTAGGCAATGTGCCATAGGACATGCAAAGGTAAGTGTTATTTTCAGACTCTTTTCTTGCGGAACTTGCAGTTTGGTAAGAGAGAGAAGTCAAGTTCCCAAATAACTATGCTGTGGGCAGTCTATGATAAGAGTTAATATGAGGTATTTGGAGGAGGCAAAAATTATTTTTTTTTTGTGTGTGTGGAATTTTTATAAGAGTTTAGTTGAGCCAAACAGATGATTTCAGGGAAACAAGATCTCAAATGCTCCCACAAAAATAATTTCTTGCTGCAAGAGACAGGGAAATGCTTTATGGAGAAGTATATAGTGAGGGAGGCCTTAAAAGCCACGTACAATTTTAACACATCACAAGTATGGCGTAAGCAATGACATGAAGGGAAATTTTAAACAATACCAACAGAATAACAAGTAGCTTGGGCAAAATAAAGTATGGGTTAGTGTCAGGCACTGATTTCATTTGAGTATCAGAATCACCATGAGCTCATGGGGACCTTTTATGAGAATCTAATTTGGTCTATTCTGTTAAACACTGCTCTAAAGAACTATCATTATTTCCCTTGACGTTAGTTTCCTTGAAGAATGTAAAAAGGAAAGCTTTGAGCACTGGTATAATTGAAGAGTGAAAGATATTAGATAAATAGACTAGGGACAGAGTGTAGATACTCTTAAACACATTTAAATGTGTGAAGAAAATTTAGATAAGTCACACACAAAAATTACCAAAGGATTCTCAGCAAGCTACCAAAAATAGCGAAATGCTGGATCAGTTAAAGCACTAAGAATAAAGTATTGGCTCACAAAGAATCTGGCTGATGATTGAAAATAACTATAATATTTTTATAAATATGGGTTAAAAGGGGTTTGAATAGTAGCTATCATTGACAACCTCTGTTAAGAAGAAACTAGCACAGACGGACTTGTGTTTGATATGGCATGGTACTTCCCATGTTGCTTTGGCAGGTTAATGTGTATTGGGTTTTCTTCATGTTTTCAGCAACAAAACTACCAATAGCTCTGGACAGATTTCATTTGACTTTTATTCTACTGGTTGTTCTTTGGTAGGCACTGTGAAAGCAGTGCCAGTACTATTTCATCATGCACACAACAGTCAACTGCATGAACTCTCTAGGGCCAGATTCCTTAGTGTCAGAGATATAAACTCATGACCTAAAGCACTCACCAAATATTTATTGTCCTATCAAATATTTTAAATATTTTATCAAAAGTTCCTCATTTAAGGATTTAATATTTAATATTACATCTGCTTATTTTACTGACACTATTCAGCTCTGCTAATAAGAAGTATGTATTCAGCCATGGACACATCTTGTTATTTCACTGAAAAGGCAAGAAAGGATTAAAAAAGCTAAGGTTGTATCATTATCTATTTTTCCAAACCCATATAATTGTACAATATAGAGAATAAACCCTGATATAAACTATGCAGGTAATACTGGCAGTGCTAGTGGCTTAGATGTTTTCTTCCCGGCCTGTGAAGGTGTCTGGGATAATGTCTGGCAGGAGGGATCTATAGGTAGCTTTCTCTGGCCTTACCCAGAACTGCTTTTGATATGATATCAAAAGTGGTTTATAATGTTAAAAATTTGAGATTATAGCTCCTAGTAACTATTTTTTCTTTCATGTAATTTCAGTTTTTCTCTTACTACAAAGCAAATGAAGGGGCAATGTCCTCTAAAAATATATAATAGAAACTATATAACACTATTTCAATGCTTTTTCAACTAGTTGGTCCCATGATTAGTTGGTCTCAAACTAAGTGAAGTTCCTTATAGATCAAGTTCCCAAATAGCTCAGATAGAGGCAACATGATGAAGGGGAAAAAAGCAAAGCTCTAGGAGTTACATAATGTTTTCTAGCCTTAACGCTTCTACCGTCTGTGGGACTGGAGTAACTACCAGGCTCCAGATTCAATGACCTTTAAGGTCCTCTTCTGATGTGAAGATGGCACAATTCCATATGCAATTTTGTAACATGAACATGAATATTAACATGATCCTACCCTTAACCATAGATTTCTCTTAAAGTTGTACTATAGAACTATTTTTCTCTTCTCCTCCCCCCCCCACAAATGTTATGTAAGTTCTTCCTCCTATCTGCATGTTACTCTGATGTCCTAATCACTTGCAAATGCCTTGCTCTTTAACAATAATAATCATACCAGCAAATATCTACTGAGCACTTCCTATGGGGCAGGTATTGTTACAAGTTTTATATATGTGACCTTCTTTAATCCTCCTAACTACCCTAAAATTTCCCCCATTTTGAAAATGAGGAAATGAAAGCACAAAAAGATGAAACGATTTGTCTTTAGATACAGCCTAATAAACAAAAGAGCCAGATTCTAGACTCCAGAGCCTACATGGTAAGAATATAAATAAATATTAACAATTGCTTCCACCAAAGTTCTTAACTACTTGCCAAGGACTGTGTAAAAGCACATTAATACAATATATGTATTTTCGTATAATTCTTTAAACGATATATTATCATCTTTATCGTTAAGATAGGAAAACTGAAGCATATGAAGTTTTGTAACTTTCTGAAGGATGAATACTGATAAACAGCAGAGTCTAGATTTAAAGTGACCTGCTTCTTTCCTCTATCTTCCTGTTCTCTTTGCCATTCCTCTCACTCACCCATTTCATATATATATATACAGTGTCATATACTTAATTCCTCTCTAACATAAGGGACAACTCAGGGCATAAGAGTAAATTGAGATTGAAGACTAGATAAGACTATCTGGTGTGCAATTCTAAGACCTAAAGCCTCAAAGATATGTCATTATCTTAAAAATAAATAATTTTGTCTGAGTAAAATGATAAAATTTTCATGTGTTAAGTCATTGTTGGTCAAATATATTTAGTAAACACATATATGTAAACATTATAAGCATAAATATAGTAACCTTAGGAATTACAGAAGATATTGAGGCATACTCTCATAATAATCTTGTCATAGGAATTCATTGAGATTATAGCTCCTATGAATTTTTTCTTCTATGAAATTCTTATATTGTTTTTCTTTGTATAACATTTTCTTTTGAAAAGAAGTTTTAAGAATCAGTTTCATTTGCATCAATGTTATTATTCCCATCTAAAATTTTAATGCTGTTTCTTTAAATTAATATGGTGTTTTCAGGATTCATAGGGTGTATTTTGAACATCTTATTGCATCACCTACAGAAGTAAGATTGTTATATTCTTTGCATACATTGTTTATGTCTTAGTGGTCTCTGTGGGGTTAATTTGTCACCATTAATAGCTGCATCTTCCCTGTTCTATGTTTACTCCAGGGTTTTCGAACAAGACCAGTGCTTCTAAGGACTAACAGAGCTACCCCATAATCTTATAATTGGGGTTGCTGTTAGTATACGTTATATATGAAACTTTAAAAATAACCATATACTTAGAGAGAATCTTTTAATAAAAGATTCAATATACCATGAATATCTGACAATTTTGTCAATTTTCTTAATAAAACTGATCTTAAGAACATAGGTTTTGAAGTGTCTTTTTTTCGTTAATATGCTTGAGAAAGCAATTTATTTTTTATTTAATTATGAAAAGATTTAGTCCAAGGATACTTTTAATAACAATGACTTTTTCAATATAAGCTTTTTAAATGACATTTAAAAAGTAACATTTGAAAATATAAAAACAGATAAAATTCCGTTTCCCAGTGGTCTAAACACAGTGCCTACTGTTGAATTGTGGAGTATAGGTATTGAATTTGGTATATGCATAGCATTATCACAAAGGTTTGACAAATCCTAATTACTAAAATGAACAATTGTAGGTTGAGAATGACTCAAATTTGACAAGTGTTTTTGTAAGAATTGGTTAAAGTATTTAGGTACAGTTGAAGTGTAAAAGCATGTGGTAATTTTTTACTTGTTTTTAATTAGATGCCTTAAAACAAATAACTACACCAAAAATAGCCACAAAATAATGTGAATTCTGTTACATTATTTTTAGTGTTGCCTTTTGTTTTGTACATAGTAAATGCCACCCTGCATCGAAAACATCCAGAGCAGGCTCTGTACTTTCAAAACTTGACTCCATTAAATCCTCACAACAGCCCTCCGAAGCAGCCTTTCCGGGGATCATTTTACAGATGAGGAGACGGAGTGTGGGGAGTTGGATTAATATGACTAACACAGATAAGGGCAAATAGAGGGAAAGCCAGGAGTTGAGAAAAGCCCAGGCTTCCCTAGCCCCTTCAGCACGAAGGCCAATTTGGTCAAGTGGTTTTCAGACAGGAGGGGGTATATTGTATTTTTCAGAAAGACCAGGAAATGCTGCTTCTTTATTTTAATTCCCCTATCTCCCTGCCAATTAAGATCCAAACTCCCACCTCAATCAAGTAAGACACAACATTTTAATGCCCCTTTTGCCCTTATCTTTCTTTGTTATTCCCAAGGATGACAATGTTGACAAAAACCACTGAGATGGTGATAGGCTAGAATTAGACATTGGCTACTTGTAAACCTTTCCCCCCACAATACCACCAAATCATGCTACATGGGAGGTTATCTATGTTACCTACAAGTAGAGCAGACTTTGTACCATGGCATGAAGCACTTTGTGAAAAAGTATTCCTTGTTGCCTAACTTCTTAAATAAAATTAGAGCAGACCCAGTTATAGAACATTTATAAATTTAATGCATTGGATGTGCACAACTGAAGTTGGCAATGAGAAAACTTATACTCTTTTTGAAGGTATTTTGTTTTGAGTTTAAATGTTAAGCTAGAGAATTATTTTATATAAGGCAGTATAATTAAAATTGCTCAAGTTCAACTCTCAGAAACACTGCATCAGAGATCTCTGAAATATTTCAGAACTGGAAAGTTCTTTTGAGCAACTTATCTCCTTTTTTTTTTTTTTCATATTGCTGGTCTTATCTTTGGACATTGCAAAGTCTTCCATTGTTTCTGACTATTAATGACTATAGAACAATGGCTACATACAGTTTCACTCACACAGAACAAGCAGTAATACTTTCAAGAGAAATAACCTTAAGCATATATTTGAGATTAAGCATAAATGCCATTACCACCATCTGCAAAGCCAGTTGCAGTGATAATAGGTACAGCCACCATAATTAGTCCACTGCCGCTCCAAACATACTTCATCAAGAACTGCTCTATCATAATGTACCACAAACGTTTCGATAAAATGAGGTTCATCTGATCTGCTAAAGCTTTGTAACTTTTCTGGAGTTGTTTCATTTCTACCTATAGAGAGAAAAAGAGTTAAGAATTAACTTAGCATGAGCTATCAAAATAAATATTGTATGCTTGAGGACTTTAAAGACAAGTTACATATTAGCTTGCTTTATTTAGTATTGTGTTATCTATGATTCTAACAACCAATAAATACAGATTAATATTAGATTTAGTCATTATTGTTTAGATTTATCATACCTGTAATATTAAAAAAATAATACTCAGTAAATATAATGCTAAGTATAAAATATGTAAGTGTAAGATATATAAGTGATTTATAAGCATGATTTTAAAATTATATATATGAGATGTTTAAACCAAATATTCTGTAAGACATGAATAAACAATGCTAGAATCTTATCCTTCTTGATTATACCAAAACTATCTGAAAATAAGTATATGATACATATATGTGTAATTAGACTCCAGTTTTGAACTAACTCAATTTATTGGACTTCGTCTTAAATTCAAGAAGCCTACAGCATGATATAATTTACATCACTAAATTCAATGACTCAAGAAGACTGACACATCAATATGATTAATACAACATATGAGGACAATTTTCAAGTGGGAATAGAAGTTCTAAATTTGCTTTAAAGTTTCTTCTTCAGATTGGTACTGCTATAAAATTTTTTGGATAATTGATGATGCTTTAAAAATTAAATAATTCTGCCTGGTAATTAAAATACCATTTTCAACTTTAGAATACCTTAATATTTTATTTGCCAGACATTTGGATTAGGACTTCAGATGCATCACCTTAAAATTTCTGCCATATTTAATATTATGAAGTTACTGTCATGCACTGCAATTTTAGGTAATTAGGCTAACTATTTTAGGGATCTGCTTAAGGTTGAAAATCTTTAATATTTAAAATAACACTCTGGAACTCTTTCCTCCTCCTCATTCCTAATCTTAGTTTTTCTATCAAAGTTAGACAAAACTTCATTTCACTGTCTCTTTTTATTTGTGTCAAAATATGGTACTAAGAGTAATGGAAAAGCATTGGTGAGCCCCACTCTCCTAAATTTCTTAAGACTTAGGACAGTCCATCATTGACCAGGCATGCAAAACTGTCAAACTTGTTTTTCATATGAAAACATGTTTCCCTCCCTTGAAAAACAACAACAATAAAATACCACCCTAAATTTCCATCTCAATAGTTTCGAAACATATATTTTCTTCTAATTCTGTAGAACCACCGACTAAGTTAGGGATTTAAGTTTTAAGAAAATGCTTTAGAGAGAATTCTGAGCATAGTTGAGTAAGAGGGGTGAAGTAGACTATTTTCTACAGTGCTGAATATTTTATTCTCATGAAACTTCAGAAGTTTGCACTCTATAATTTTTTTAACAGCTTGCCATTAAACAGGGTAATGAAGCATGTATTTTAATGAAGGTTTAAGATGTTACAGGAATCTAAAACGCTAAAGAAGTGGGTCCATCAATAATAGTATAACAGATGGTATCTAGCACTGAAGTGGCAGCTTGAACATGCTCACATTTCACCCATCACCTTAATTTCTCTTACCTTATGTCCTCTGTAAAATGCAATTTCTTCAACATTGGCTATAATTCTGGAGTGAACATACCGTAAATAGCCTTTTCTATGCGCTTCTTCAGCCACCAATTTACCAAACTTGGGAGAGCAGGCTTTCAACACTTTAGCAGTGGCATATACCACAAGTCCTGCTAATAGAGTGGGCCCAATTGGGCTCGCACCTCTGGATGTAGCAGTCTGGATGAGGGTGTAGGAGGTCAGAATTACATCTAAAATAGGTTTGGTCAGATTGGAATACAAGTGAGCCACAGACTGGGAGAACATCATAATATCTTCAGTAAGAGACTGGTCAGGGTTTGCCAGCCTCCCATCCATATTGATCACTTTATAATAAGTCTGATTCGTAAAATAGGTTTCATAGGCATGGTCTACTAGGCGAGTTCTGAAGGCCAAAGCCAATTTGCATTCCAGGTACCTTATCGCACTGTTGACAAAGGTGGCAGGGATGGCAATCAGAAGCCACTTGATCAATTTGATGATGAAAGTCCGAGGCTTCTTTTCCACAATGCTTTTTACGATTTTTCCATCCAGACCAGCCACATAGATAGACAGAAAGGTTCTTGAGATGAGAGCCACCGAGTGGAGGCAGAGCCACCCTGTCTCAGTGGTCACAAGTTTTGGAAAGAGGATCTTCCGAAGTTCTAGTAGCTGTTTGAAAAAATCTGCATTCACTCCAGGCGAAGGTTTTTTACCAGTAATCTCGGTGCAATGCAGTGTTTCTCTGTTCTCTGCAGCCCCGCGAGCTTCTTTTTTCTTCCTGTGGCCAGTTTGCTTTAAATGCTTGCTAATGATGGGGTAGAGGGTTTTCACAGCATATGCCGCAGCCACCAGGCAGGCGGCCCTTTTAGCAGCACCCGACCTGGTCCATTTCACTCGATCAGCTGCTGCATTTAGCATATGTATCATTTTCCCAGTTACCCAAACCAGCTTCAAAAAGGATAGTTTTAAAAGATCATGCTCCACGGGGATCCCCAGCAAATATTTCAGAAAGTGCTACAGCGTCCCATACTCTGCAGCGTTTCTCCTCTTCTGTGGTTTTTTTTTTTTTTTTTTTGGTTTTGTTTTAGTTTTGTTCTGCTGTGACAGACGAAGCGGAGCTCTGTCTCCACTGCATCTACTGGGGATGATTCGCTCAGAAGCTCAAGCTGCACCGAGCCGCCCCAAGCTCCTCCCTCGCCCACCCCTCATTGGCTGTGAGGGCGGTGGGACCTTGGCATCCTCGCTGCTTCCCTTTGAACCTTTAAAATGAGGAGAGAACAAAATGAGTTTCATCCTTAAACTGGAATTCAGCGAGTTAAATGTCTATTTTTGGAGAGGTCGAATCAGGCAAGCTGCTGGCAACAAAACCTGCCCTAGCCACTGAGCATGCTCAGCGTCACTTAGAAACCCACAGAAGTTTCAGAACATACAGCGATTCTCGTAAGGTTTTAGTAGATACCACCAGGGGAAGAGCAAAAAGAAAGGGAGATTTCCAAAAGCTATAAAACGGGATGGAGAAGGAGAAGACGCCAGGGAGTTGAGGAAGGAGGGACAAGATGCTCAACGTAAAATGAATATAAGAAGGCTGTGAAATGAATCTGAAAGGGAGAGAGAAGAAAGTGACAAAGCCAGGAGGGCACTGGGAAAAAATACTTGGATCTGTTTTGCGGTCCTGTCCCCATCCATTTAATTTTTTTTCTATGATTTTATATGAAGACCCAGAACCTTCCAGACAAGCTGTAATCGAGGGTATTCTTTGTAAATAAAAAGAAATCTTCTCTATTATATAAACTAATTATCTGCTCTACTCCCACCCCTGTGTTTACTCTCCTTATAATAAAAGTCTTCCAGCCCCAAGACTGCTATTTTTAGCAATGGAGCTCTGATGCTCTGGTATTTATTTACAAGGTGGCTACTAAATAAATGAGAGCAATGTTTCACTTCTACTACTCCCTTGTGCCCCTTGTTACTTGGAGGTACTGTGACTCTATAATCAAATGTTACCCATTTGGGAACCCAACCAGAGTAGGACAGTTGGAAATAGCTTCTCCAAGAGCTTACTTCATTATTCAAGAGTTCTTTCTCTTTCACAGGCTTTTGTTTGTTTGTTTTGTTTAGGCTTAGAGATAAATCCATTGGTTACTCCCCATTTATATTTTAGTTATTTGATAAAAACCAAGAGTGTTAAAAAAATTCTCCATTTTCCTAATGGAGGATCTAAACTGCTAAACAGTCAAGCAAAACTCTGCATACTTAAAAAAATATATAAAAGGCTTTTTTTTTTTTTTTTTAATAAGGAAGAGTATATTCTTGAATATGTGAAAAATTAGCTTTTTTACCCCAACCCTCCACACATAACATACATGCTGGAAGCCTGGGAAGATATGCATTAAACTAGAACAGATGGGCCACCATCTACTTTTTAGATGACCCTTGAGTTAAGAGTGGTTTTTACAATTTAAAGTGCTTAAAAATACAACAAAAGAAGACTATTTTGTGACATGAAAATTGTATAAAATTTTTATTTCAGTGTTCATAAATAAAGTTTTATTGGAACACAGCTGCCGGCATTTATTTACTTACTAGAGGCCTGGCACACGAAATTCATGCACTGGGGAGTGGGAGAGTCCCTCAGCCCGGCCTGTATCCTCTTGCAGTCCAGGACCCCTCGGGGGATGTCTGGGACCCCTCGCTCCTTACCGCCCGCCTGCTCACTGCTCCTTAACTCTGCAGTGGAGGAAGGAGAGGCTCCTGCCACTGCCGCTGCGCTTGCCAGCCATGAGTCCAGCTTCTGGCTGAGCGGCGCTCCCCCTGTGGAAGAGCACTGACCACCAGGGGGAAGCTCCTGCATTGAGCATCTGCCCCGTGGTGGTCAGTGTGCATCATAGCGACTGGTCGTTCTGGTCATTCTGCCATAACTGTTGCTTAGGCTTTTATTATATAGACTAGAGGCCCAGTGCACAAAAATTTATGCACTCGGGCGGGATCCCTCAGCCCAGACAGTGCCCTCTCACAGTCTGGGACCCCACGGGGGGATGACCATCTGCAGGCTGAGGCCTGCTCCCCAGCGGATTGGGCCTAAGCTGGCAATCAGACATTCCTCTGGCAGCCTGGCAGCCCTCGGGGGATGTCCCCTTGCCAGCGGGGGGCAGACCTAAGCTGCAGTCGGACATCTTTAGCGCTGCTGAGGCAGGAGAGGCTCCCACCACCACCGCTGTACTGGCAGCCATCAGCCTGGCTAGTGGCTGAGCAGAGCTCCTCCCATGTGAGAGCGACCTGACCACCAGAGGGCAGCTCCTGCATTGAGCGTCTGCCCCCTGGTGGTCAGTGTGTGTCATAGTGACCAGTCATTCCTAGTCTTTCTGCTGTTAGGGTCAGTTTGCATATTACCCTTTTACTATATAGGATAGAGGCCTGGTACACGGGTGGGGGCTGGCTGGTTTGCCCTGAATGGTGTCCCAGATCAGGGTGGGGGTCCTGCTTGGGTGCCGGGCCAGCCTGGGTGAGGGGCTGATGGCTGTTTTCAGGTTGCCTGCACCCCCTTTAGGGTGGGGGTCCCCACTGGGGTGCCTGGCCAGACTGGATGAGGGGCTGATGGCTGTTTTCAGGCTGCCTGCACCATTCTGCATATCAGATATTTACATTATGATTCATAACACTAGCAACATTACAGTTATAAAGTAGCAACGAAAATAATTTTACGGTTGGGTCACAACATGAGGAACTGTATTTAAAGGGCCAGAAGGTTGAGAACCACTGGTCTAAAACATTTACTGCCTGTTGGTCTTCATCAGAAGTGTGCCAACCTCTGTGCTGGCATATAAAGCCTGTGTCAGCGTTGGGTGACCTTCATCACTCAGTTTACTAGAATAAAGAATTATCCTCACTTCTATGACTAATTATATTCCTAAACTTTTAAAACTCCTCCTTTCTGAAATACCTATATTAATTCCAAGAATCATCACAGATCTCTTTTCATTTGTTTGCATTCAATTCAGCAGATTTATTAATCCATGAGTGGCAAAGTCACGCAAATCTTTGTTAGCTGGCCATAATAAGCAGCACAATCTGTCATTCCATTAAGACTTTCCAACTTATATGTAGAGATCAGAGTACTTTATTTCAAAATCTTATATCCCTAATTTCATGCTTTTCGTGGGTCAAAATCAGGCTGTCTTATATTTATAAGTTTTAATTCATTTTGTTACATTTCATGACTGTGATAGGACAGGCAGAGGGCTAAGGTAAACTTAACTAGGGGTGATTGGAGGTTGTTTGGCCAGGTAGAACATGGTACACAGAGGGGCACATTGGTCAGAAAGCAGCTGGCAGTTGAGACAAGTGGCTTGCATCACTGGCATAAGACAGCCTATCAGGGGAGGAGCAGGGTAGTGAGAAATCTAGAAGCAAACAACATTATAGATTCAAACAGGTACCCAATTAGTTGTAGGTAGGTCAATTTGCCAACTGATAATGGGGTACAGAAACAAGCTTTTAATGTGTGGAGTGAAAGACTTGTTAGAATGAACAATTAGGTATGAGGAAATAATCAAGATGGGAATTTGGTTACCAGAATTGTGGTAGGTTGAAGGCCAGTTACTGAAACTGGAGAAAAAGTCAGTGTGAGCTTTGACTTGATGTTGAGCCACTATAACCATTTAAATTGCACTCACTCTTCACCCAGTCAGGGTTGATTCTAGCGTCTGAAGCTGGGCCCAAGCCTTCTGGGAAGGCAGTGGGAGAATTTGAGATGACAGGAAACTAGATAGGTATTTCCAATTGGAAATATATGCCATTTAAGAAACTAAGAATGTCAAAGTACTTTTCATTTTTTTTTTTTTACCAGCAGTATGTAATTAAAGCAAAGAGAATGTAAACTAAGTTTGAATTCCAAACTATACGAGATAAAGGAGGTGAAAAAAGATTACTTACTCTAGTAAACATAGTTCAGCCTAGTTTTCACTGTCCGGGGGAGTGAGAGAGAGAAACATTGATTGGTTGCCTCTCGCACATACCTTGACTGGGAATTGAACTTTTTGGTGCACAGGATGATGCTCAACCACTGAGCCACACCAGCCAGAGCTAAATTTTATTTTTTAAATTACAGTTTGCATTCATTATTTTATTTTAAATATATTTCATTGATTTTTTACAGAGAGTAAGGGAGAGGGATAGAGAGTCAGAAACATCAATGAGAGAGAAACATTGATCAGCTGCCTCCTGCACACCCACCACCGGGGATGTGCCCACAACCAAGTTACATGCCCTGTACTGGAATCAAACCTGGGACCCTTCAGTCCACAGTCAACGCTCTATCCAGTGAGCCAAACCAGTTAGGGCTATAGTCATTATCATTTTGTATTACTTTCAGGTGTATAGCATAGTGATTAGACAATCATATAGTTTAAAAAGTGCTCCCCCTGGTATTTTCAGTACCTATCTGGCACCATACTTTGCTATTACAATATTATTGACTATATTCGCTGTGCTGTACTTTACATTCCCATGACTTTCATAACTGTCCATTTTTAAAAAAAATATATATATTTTATTGATTTCAGAGAGGAAGGGAGAGGGAGATAGGAACATCGATGATGAGAGAGAATCATTGATTGGCTGCTTCCTGCACACCCCCCATCAGGGAATCGAGCCTGAAATCTGGGCATGTGTCCTGATCTGACTGGGAATCAAACAATGTGGTTCATAGGTCAATGCTCAACCATTGAGCTACACCGGCCAGGCCATAACCATTAATTTGTACTTCTTAATCCCTTCAATTCCCCCTTCTCCCTCCCGCCCCCTGCTCCCCAGTCCCATATATATATATGCTAGCCTTATTCATGTGAGGCACAAACATCATTAAAGATGAGATCTCAGGTCAACATTTCAGCTGTTACAAATAACTACCTAATGACTAGTTCATAAGGAAATGTATTGTCTATAAAGGAAAAACCAGTAAATATCTTGTCTAAAGATATGTTTCATAGATCATTATTATTCCCTTCACCTCACTCACCACTTCCACTGCCTCCCTGTGACTCTAGTTAGTCTAACTGG